GTACTATGTACTAGTATTGTAATACAGAATACAGTACTTTGTACTATGTATTACTAGTACTACAGTACTGCACAATGAAATATGAAATTTGAAAAAAGATCGTCACTTTCGCGCGTCTGTAACTCCCTTGTCTTTGCGTTTAAACTATTAGTGTTATACATTTTCTGAAAGCTCTTTTCAAGAGCTACACAATGGTAATATTAATATTTAAAAATACGGTAAAGACAAGGGAGTTACAGACGCGCGAAAGTGACGATCTTTTTTCAAATATCATATTTCATTGTCCAGTAGTGTATGTACTATGTATTACTAGTACTATGTACTGTACTAGTAATACGATTTTCCCTTAAATTTATGCTAACTATGATGCTAAAATATGTCTTTTAGATTTTAGACTTAAGGAAATGAAGAAAGTGACACGAAAAGCCCTGAATTTCAGCTATTTTTTGATACCATGTACTGTACTAGTAATACTATGTACTGTACTAGTAATACAAAACACTTTCTACTTACACTGATCACTTAAATAAGCAAGAAAAACATAGCAAAAGACTTCTGGAATACCTTTCGTTTACAAGTTTCACTTCTAAATTTGTAATCAAGCTCTCAAAGAAGGCCTCTAATACAAGATTATAAAGCAAGATGAGTTCTGGATGGGTTCTGAGTAGCTTGGAATGGGTTTTGTACAAGTTGACAAAAAAAAACTAAAGCTAAAGCCAACTTTCAATTGATCTTGATCACGAATTTCAACTTTTCAACCATTTGATTTGACCTGATTCGGTCTGAAACCTTAACTTCAACTGAAAATTTGATTTTTTGCGTTAATTCTCGTTTTGGTGAATGAAATTTGATTTGGTCTCAACTTCCGTTGAATAATATAAGTTGATAATATAATTTGATAATAATAGTTGAATAGTGCTTTGGGTTGGGAATACAAAAATCGACGTAAAAATAAAGAATAATGGACGATCGGGTTAGCACCGGGTTCGAACCCGCGACCTCTCGCTCACCGGACGAAAGCTCTGCCAATGAGCTACCGTGACATGGAGCCTCACCGCTGGGAGAGGGCTTTATCCCTTCAATGTAAGATCCTAGAGTATCCGGGGATAACTAAAGGTTAAGAATAACGAATTTCAGATGAGAGTTTCGAAGTGAAATAGATTCGAAACGAAAACGAATCACTTGCGATTTAAGCTGTCTATTTCTTTTTACATCTCTTGGCTGTTTTAGAGAAACCATTAACTCTACAAATGCTCTAAAAAAACCTATAAATAGATATTGGAATCACAGTCATGTTTGCCGCTTTCTCAATCACGATTCTAGATTCCCACTCAAAGAATTCCCCTCAAAAATGCCCGCAAATCAATGAAGCGCGAACGCTTTGAAGTTTGCTTGATGCTTTGAAAAGAATAAAACTTTAAAGGCATTTGTGTCTTCTAAACTAAAATCACGAACAAATGCCTCAACTTTAGCAAAGCCTCTTCCTCTTCCTCTTCCCGGAAAAAAACCCCCCATTTTTTTTGTGCTGACCTCTCTGCTGTGCTTTCAAAAAAGGAAATCGTTTCCGAAAAAAGTTGAAACTCTTTCTCTTCTTTGTTTCTAAACGTTTTGATGAAAAGAGAACCCTTGAAAAGAGAAAAGAGAACAAAACTCGAACAATTTTCAAAAATTTAAACAAAAGCTGAGCGTTCAATTGATTACGAATTGCTCAGTGATTACGAATAGCTTCCATGGCTTGGCTCTTGGCTTGATTTGCAGTTCGAAGCTTTCAGAAGCTTTCAGAAGCTTTCAGAAGCTTTCAGATGCTTTCAGAAGTTTTCAGAAGCTTTCAGCCTAGTAGTCAGGCTTACAAATCCTAGGCTTAGTTCACAATATTTTGCTACTTATCCGCTTTTTTCTGAACTCTTACAAGGGTAGCTTTTGGAGAGCTTCAATTCTCCTTCAATTCTCCTTCAATTCTTCTTCAATTCTTCTTCAATTCTCCTTTCCCCTTTCCAACTCTTTGATGAACAATGCTCATTTTTCTTGTCGCTAAATCTACTCCCAAAATCTGAAACTTTAAAGAAACTAGGGGACTTCTCAGGTAAAATTGAAAGGAAAAGAAAATGATGGAAATATCAAAAAAAGAAAATCTGAAATCTGAAAGCTGAATAGGTTTTGGAGAAGAGGGATAACGATGTAAACACATATTTCCTAGTGCACTGAATGCCCCTTTTTCTTTACAGAAACGTTGTCACTAGAAAAATAAAGAATTCAGCTCGTTATGAAGGCTCATTTTTGAGTACAAAGTACATAGAAATCAAAGAAGTATTTGAGTGTGCCAGCAAGGGTGCGTTTCCCATTGTTGTTAATAATAAAAGAATTAATATGAACAAAGTATTGTACTATGTACTAGTAACAGAGTACGTACACTACTTTGTACTCTGTACACAGTGCTCTGTACAGAAGTATTTGAGTGTGCCAGCAAGGGTGTGTTTCCCATTTACTATATCACAGAGTACACTGAAAGCTAAGTAAGTTTAAAGCTTAAAAAAGAGAAGAAATGAATGACGAAAAAGGGAAGAGAAAAGCATGACTCTTTTCCAACAACTTTGAGTGAAATTTGAGTGCTTTTTTTCTTTTTTTTTTTTTTCGTAGAATTTATATGCAGATTTGCCGATTTTTAAGAAAAACTTCTTTTTTCGGCAACTATTCTAGACAACAGGACAACAGAAAAACGCGCCTCGAGAGCACTTATGAGAATTTGAAAGATTGAAAATGGAATTGAAAATGGAATGAAAATAACGAGGCGAGGAAAGGAAGAGATTTCACTACAATATAGGATTTTGCCGTAAATTTAAGCTTTAATTTTGGCGAACATTGCTAAATATGAGGCTAGATCGGTTTAAACATTTGATATGCCTATCTCACAAATAGTAGTGAACTCTTTAATATATTTCCTCAAGAGAGGTTTCAAAATAGAAGTGCACCCTCATAAATTGACCATATTTCTGGTGCTTGTTGGGATCGAGCCCATGACCTTTCCGACTAAATACGATTAGTGCCATATTTCTAAATGCGGTTAAGAATCAAATATGAGGCTTTTTATTTCATTTATTAACTTTTAAACTTGAAACAGGATCCATTTCCAAGTCCCGAACCTGTCTTAAAGCCACAAACACAAAGAATACAAACACTCTAGTCTAGTATCTAGGCTACAAACTAGTCTAGTAACTTTAGACTCTGCCCAGTAACTGTTGTCAAAAGTATCCAATTAGTACGTCCCATTATTCAAAATGGTGAACTATCGAAAAAATCTGACTTTGTTTACTTCGGAAAGCCGGTAAAGTCTCTATTATTACACTCAAAAGATCGGCTCGAGAGCTTGTGAAAGAAAAAGGATATCTTTATTCAACAAGAAATTTGATATAAATAAATACACAACAGTTTTAATATCCTTAAAGATGTTTCCAAAGAAAAACCTATATATAGAGCCATATTTTCATCGGCTGGGATCGAACCCATGACCTTCCGACTAGAATACAAGACTCCTAACCACTCGGCTATGGAGGAAGAAAGCCGCCGTTTCTGATTTTCGCCTTTAATCAACACTCGTCAATTTTAAAGACGCCTGAAGGGCTTGGAAAGTACTTTGCGCTCAACTTTCCTCTCATTTTAGCTTACTTGAATGGGCGCTAGAAAGGAGATGTTTCTATCAAAGCACAAAGTACGCAAAGAAACTATGAGTGCGCCAGAGGTCGTATCTTTACAAAAAGACAAACTAGATCCAACCTGTAAACTTATTCCCCGCTTGAATTCGCTGTGATTCGTGCAGTGATTCCTTTTCTGAATGAACTCAAACGAAGCAGGCTTGCTCGTAATGTGTCTTCTCATTTAAGAAGATTTTTAAGAATAACTAACAACTATTATAATCCTACAATAACTACCAATTCTCTATCACAAAAAAACCTATTTACTGAACTGTTTACTGAATAACTATTCAAGTTTTTGCCAAAGGCCAGGGCCAGAAAAGCGAAGCAATTATTAACAAAAAAGTTTTCTTTTGTTAAAATTTAAGAAAAATTTCTTGAAGAAAATTTTCTGGATGAGAAGAAAAGATGGAGAAAAAAAAAAGAGGCAATTCGAATAATAATTGGATTTCAAGTGCTGAAGAGGCAATACGAGCTTTCGACAAAAGAAAACCGAAATCGTTTCGAATATTTAAATGTAAAAAAGGATTGCTTTAGAATTGGAATAATGTTAGCTGAAAGGTGAGCTTTTTGTTCAGCTCAAAGGCACGGGTTTTTATGCTAATTTTTGAGACTTTAAATGAACCGCCGATTGCTGGGGAGGAGGAGGGAAAGAGTTGGAAAAAGAGCTGGAAAAAGAGTTGGAAAGAGCTGGCAAGAGCAGGACAAAGAGCTGGCAAGAGCTGGAAAAAGAGCTGGAAAAAGAGTTGGAAAGAGCTGGCAAGAGCAGGACAAAGAGCTGGCAAGAGCTGGAAAAAGAGCTGGCAAAAGAGCTGGAAAGAGCTGGAAAAAGAGCTGGAAAAAGAGCTGGCAAAAGAGCTGGAAAAAGAGCCAAATTCCAGACCAAGTCGAGTCAAGGGCAAAGCTTTGAAGCGAATCTAGCCTAAATCCAGATAAAGTTTAAAATCCAGACAAAACCAATTGAAAGCTATTGGCTTTGGCTTTGGCTTTGGCTTAGCTTGGCTTGGCTTGGCTTAGCTTGGCTTGGCTTAGCTTGGCTTGGCTTGGCTTTGGCTTTGGCTTGGCTTGGCTTGGCTTGGCTTGGCTTGGCTTGGCTTGGCTTGGCTTGGCTTTGACTTCTTAAAACCAATGCCTCACCTCACTGTACCTCACCAAAGCCACACCTCAGACGCAATTGTACTATCGAAATCTTTCTCAGGGCGGGGAAATGATAAAATTTGAGAGAAAAAGAACAGGAGAGATAAAATTTGAAAAAAAAGAGCAGAAGAGATCAAATTTAATCAGAAAATTCAGGATTTCAAAAAAACAGACCCCTTTCCGATCACCAAACGCTGTCTCGTCGTAGAGAAGGCGCATCGAAGATCTGAAAATATTGAAATCATAAAAATTATCAAATTTCGATTTCCTAACTTACTCGTTAGCTGAATATCTTTCAATATTTCACAAAAAAATAGTTTTAAATCTGTTCTACCCCAACTCGGCGAGTGTTTGTCGCCGTTTTCGACGCTCGTGCATTTGTGGATCCATCTCTTTACAAAAGCAAAATTATAATGAATTACAAAAACGTTAGTTGAATAAAAATGTTGTTTTGAGAAGTGAGAACTGGGCTTTAACAAAGAAAAACTAATTGAGCATGATAGACTTGGTTTAGAGTTGAGAAAGAACTTGAGAAAAAAGTTGCTAGAGTTAGCATTAGCTAAGCTAAAGTCAATAACTTTCAGCTAAGCTAAAGTCAATAACTTTCAGTCAAAGCCAGCTCACGGGAACACCAAAAGCCAATCTTGACCAATCTTGACCAATCTTGACTTCTCCAGGTTCTAGACAAGCAAGTTAACGAACCATATCTATTGGCTTTCTTGTGCAGCGAACTAAGGTCAACAATCTACAATGAATCCTATGTTAAGACAGATACAGCTAAAGAAACAAGTCATATCTTGACTTCTCCAGGTTCTAGACAAGCAAGACTAGCTTAGCCAAGTCTAGCTTAGCTCATATAAGTAAATCTGTTGAATCTGTTTACTAGGAATAGTTCTCGAATCTCAAATAAGTAAAATTTCCCTTCAAAGCCTTCAACATCGAGCAAATTATCTCAGCTTTTTTTTGCAGCTCTAATTATAAAATTTTGAGTGTAATTGTACCCAAAAACAAGCTATTTTGATCTAATATTGGAATTATTAGATCAAAAAAAGGAACCGTATTGGAACCGTATTAGATCAAAAAAAAGAACCGTATTGGAACCGTATTCGATCAAAAAAAGGAACCGTATTGGAACTGTATTAGATCAAAAAAAAGGAACCATATTGGAACCATATTGGAACCGTATTAGATCAAAAAAAAGAAACCGTATTGGAATCGTATTAGATCAAAAAAAAGAACCGTATTGGAACCGCATTGGAATCGTATTAGATCAAAAAAAGGAACCGTATTGGAACCGTATTAGATCAAAAAAAAAGAACCGTATTGGAACCGTATTAAATCAAAATAGGAACCGTATTGGAACCGTATTAAATCAAAAAAAATTAAAAATTCAATTTTTATAGCTAAAATGGAGAAGATAATGATCGAAATTTCCCCTGCAAAACCGAAACTTTCTTTAACTTAATCTTTCTTTCAAACTTTCAAAGAAAATTTCGATCGGAAACTCCAAAGATTACCTCCCACTGAATGCGGGAATAGATTTCCAATTCAGTTTCCCCAAAAAAAAGCAAAAACCTTTCTTCTTTAAGAATTCAGAGATGATGGACTTCGATGGGAATTCTTTTGGAAAATAGACTTTTCAAGAAAAGAGAGGGATTTCATTGAGAAGTAGGAAAGAAAGAGAAAGAAAGAAAGAACAGATGACCCTCTTTTGCGTCTTAAAGAAAGGACCACGAATATTTATCCATAGTACTTTTGACAATACAAAGATTATCTAATATTTTGAAGTCTCAAAAGATCTTTTGCTTTTCGACATCCAGAGCTGACATACAATGGAGCATGGGTGTCGCGGAGAGTCAGGTTTAGAATCCAGGCCAGGACCGGCCTAGTCTAGCCTAGCTTTCTAGCCTAGCCTTCTAGCCTAGCTTTCTAGCCTAGCCTTCTAGCCTAGCTTTCTAGCCTAGCCTTCTAGCCTAGCCTTCTAGCCTGGCTTTCTGGCCTAGCCTTTTCTACCGTCTCATCCACGAAAGTCAGAGCTACAAGCCCTTGAACTCAATTGTAATATCCTTGTCCCAAAGCTTGAATGATGAGCATATAAGACCGGTCAGAAGCCAGTCTGTCTAATAGTAACTGGACCAGATAAGACTAGCAGTAAAGCCAGCCCAGGTAGACAAGGGCTAGATCAAAGCCAGACTCAAATCTGGCCAGGACAGAGTCAGCTCAGCTCTAGCTTTGAGCTAGCTCTAACCTGTTTTAGTTAGATAACGGTTTAAAAATAATGAAATTTCCTTTGAATATTGAAATAAAATATTGAAATGTCTCGTAAACGTATCCTTTCTAACACTCTGATGTCAGATTTTATTTTACAAAAAAAGAATGGCTCTTAAATGGCTCTTAAATTTCGATGAAAAGAGATCATAGTCTAAGGTGAAAAGAGAAGAAATGATGGATGATTTCAACGATGGATGAATCTAAAGGTACTTCTCTAAAAGAGATTCAAAAGAGATTCAAAAGAAAAGACAAAGGGGATTGACCCGAAAAGTCCTAAAGAAGGTTGAAAAGTTTCTTAGCAATCTTCTCTTTTTCCTTTTCTTTTTTTGAAAACTCTCAAATCCGATGTCATTTCTCGGAGAGTTGCCGTTTTTTTTGGCTCTTTTTTGGCTCTTCTTGTCTCTTTTTTTCGTCTACATCGAAATCTCCTTTTCTTCTATTGGATTGACGTTCCCGAAATCCGCCATTAAACTAATTACGACCGGTGCTGGGAAGACACAAAGATAAACCAGGAAACGAGAATTTTCCTTCTGACTTTTACTTTAAAACTCTAAATTAGCGAATCTAATAGAAGAAAAGCGAAAAAGAAATTATTTTTGGAATCAGAACTTTCTTTTGATTCATTCTGGTTGAATTTTTGAATTTTTGAAATGCTTTCAAATTAGTTTCAGTCATTTTAAAGTGACTGAAATGTACTTTTGAAGTGTACTTTTGTGCTTGAAACATCTCGTAAACAAAATCCCTTTTAACACACTAAAGAACTCCACATAACACTAGAAAATTGCTATAAGAAAATGAAAGTTTAAAGTGGAATAGAAAGAGTTTTTTTAGACTTTTAAGTATACTTTTAAGTATATTTTTGAGCACAAAGGCTGAATTAACGTCTTATAAAGGTTAAAGTGGAATAGAAAGAGTTTTTTAGACTTTTAAGTATATTTTTGAGTGCCAGTTTGTACACAAAGGCTGAATTAACGTCTTATGAAGGTTAAAGTGGAATAGAAAGGGTGTGTTTACACTATTAACTATATTTCTGAGTCCATGTTTGAGTACAAAGGCTGAATCGACGTCCTATGTAGGTTAAAGTCCAATAGAAAGAGTGTTTTTAGACTTTTAAGTATATTTTTGAGTGCCAGTTTGTACACAAAGGCTGAATTAACGTCTTATGAAGGTTAAAGTGGAATAGAAAGGGTGTGTTTACACTATTAACTATATTCTTCAGTGCATATTTGAGTCCAAAGGCTGAATCAACGTCTTATTAACGTGATCTCATCAAAACTATTACGCATTTTAAGATTTCGATAAACTGAATGAAATAAAAACGAATTTCTGATTGAAAATTGTTTCAAGAATGGTTTAGAAAACCCTTTAAGCCTTAAGGATCATTTTTGAAACTTTATCCATCTATAAATCTATCTATAAATCTATTATAAATCTAAAATGTTTCCTTTTTCAAAAGAAAGAGAACATTTTAGCGTTGATCTGTAATTTTAATGAGAAATTTTTCACTTTCCAAAAAACAAAACTAAATTTAAAGAAAGTTTTGTTGAAAAATATTGTATTCAAAAAAATAATGAAAATCTTTCGAAAAATGTCTTTGTTTTATGCCAAAGGGGAAGATTGAAAGAAAGAAAGAAAGAAAGGAAAGATTGAAATTCGAGAACGAATTGGAAAAAGGGATTTGAAAGCTTTTCTAATAAAAACTTTGAAAATAAGCTTTTTCTTTATTAGAAAGTTTTAGAAAAACCTTAAGCCTAAGCAGAAAAAAGTGAATTACGGTAAATATTCAGCTGAAAAGTTACATAATACAAGAATGGGAGACAGTGTTGCCAAATTTTGGCTTAACGATCGAAGATTCGGAAGAGAGGGGACAGATCTACACTACTGGACAATGAAATATGATATTTGAAAAAAGATCGTCACTTTCGCGCGTCTGTAACTCCCTTGTCTTTATTAGATTTCTAAATATTAATATTACCATTGTGTAGCCCTTGAAAAGAGCTTTAAGAAAATGTATAACACTAATAGTTTAAACTCAAAGACAAGGGAGTTACAGACGCGCGAAAGTGACGATCTTTTTTCTAATATCATATTTCATTGTCCAGTACTGTAGTTCTTCATCAATTCTCTCTATAAATTCGTCTTTAAATTAATCTTTAAATTTATGGGAAAGAGCTTGTATAATCTGATATGATACGTGTCGATATTTAGCATGAAATTAGCATACCATAAATACTGTAATAGTACCCCACCCCCATAATGACGGTGCGGAGCGTTGCGTAGTCTAGCTTTGAACGAGTTTTTCTCGACACTCGCTTATGCTACAATGCTCGTTTAAGTATCAAAAGATAGCTGAAATTCAGGGCTATTTTTTCATACCAAAGACGCATTTTTTGGAAGTACAGGTGCGTAGTCGCGTAGTCGCAAAGGTTTGTTTTTTAGTATTTCATTTTTTGCAAAGCGCCCGTACTTCCAAAAAATGCGTCTTTGATATCAAAAAATAGCCCTGAATCTCAGCTATTTTTTGATATCTAAACGAGCATTGTAGCATAAACCAGTGTCGAGAAAAACGCGTTCAAAGCTAGACTACGCAACACTCCGCACCGTCATTATGGGCTGTTACAGTATTTACGGTATGTCTTTTCTAAATTTACATTATTCCAATAAAACTTTGAAAAGAGGAACAATTCTAAGCAATATTAGACAGTAAAAACAATTTAAAAAGCAATTTTGTGGTATTTCAATTATAAAACTGGAAAGAACTTTAAATTTATGCCAAAAATGAAAGCCTTAAAGAAATCTGTGATATTTCTGAAATCCTTTTTTCAAATAACATTCTTTAATCGGCCTAATGGAGGTCAGCTGTGTCTTTCTTTCAGCTCCTTGCCTTGTAACCGATATTTTATTGCTTTTCCCCAACCCCAATTCTTGAAAGATTTGATCTGAAATCATTGTAACATCGTTTCAATCGTTTCAACAGCATTTTCCCCCCTTGTTTTTAGTGATATATTTGTCAAAGATCAAACTCGAGACAAATTGAAAGTGTCTTTGATTGAAAATTTGAAAGATCATTCAATTTTAGCCTAAGCTAAGCTGCTAAATTCGTTTGCTAATGGAAAGGA